TTGTAGAAAGGATTAATTAAAGAACCTATTAGAGGAAGCAGGACAGTCTGCTTTGCTGAATTCATGAGAAGCAGCTCCTTGAAAAAATGTTCCCCAGCTGTTTTAAGCTGCCTGAGTGAGGAACAGCAGGGGTAGAGGAAAGACCGCTGGACTTGGAGTCTTACAGAACCAGGGTGAGCCCAGTGGTGCTATTTACACAAGACGGCAGCCTTAGGCAAGTCTCTTCACCTCCCTGAGCCATAAAGGGGATGCACCACCGGCGGGTGGAAAGTGCCTTGCACTGGGCCCTGCAAACAGTAGGCCCTAGGTGGCGCAGTGAAAACCGGTACCTGCAGAGGGCCATTTGGTGTCCTCTGAAGTGTTTTAAAAGGTGGAGTAATTGTGCGGATGTTACACTAGGTTGAAACATAAGCTGTCAGCTCTGTGGCCCTCTCTGGGGCCAGCTTCACAGGTTCGTAGTGATTGCACAGTGCCCAACAACATTTGGGTGAGCCACACTACCTCCCTCTCAGGCCCAGGAATCAGGCAAACCTGATCATAAACCTCAGCTCCACCTTCACACATGATGCCTTCATTCATACACTCAACGACTGTTTTCTGAGAACTTGCCCTGTGTTGGGCACTGTCTTCAGTGCTGCGGGGAGAAGTGGTCCTTGCTTCATGGAGTGCAGATTTGGGTGAGGGAGGAGCCATTTATGAGAGAAATCACTCAAGAAGACTACGGCAGATGCTCCTGGTACCTCACTCTGTCCCCTCAGCTCTAACTTTTGCAGTACATACCCTGTTACCCTGAGATTCTTCACCTAAGGGCCTTCTGGTGGTCAGGGCAAGCTGAAAGTGCCAGGGCGCTAACATCCCCAGGAGCAGCCCTCAACTCCTGATCAACGGAAATCAGAACAAAATGTCCAGCTTCCACTCACCCTGTGGAGTGGAACTACTCTGAAGCTTATGCTACAGTTTCCCAAGAAGAACCTGCTCTCTAACACATGCCCATTCACTTCCTTCCCTTCCCTGAATCGGTCTCCACTCCCAGAACAGTACTTGCCCTCTAAGTAAACTACTTGCACTCAAGTCTTACCTCAGGGTCTGGTGCTTGAGGAACCCAACCTGAGACAGGTAAAATTACAAATTGTGATAGCTGCAAGGAAGGCACAGGATGCAGAGCCACATCCCACGAAGTATTGTCTGAAGTGGCAACTAAGGTGGAGGAGGAGTTGCCTGGTATGAATCACCAGGATTCAGTACAACAAACAAAGCATTCTGAAAATGTTAAATGAAAAGGGTGAGCACAGCAGGCATTCAGCTCCTTGTACTGCTGCGGCCTCACAGGTGTACCAGAATCCATCTTTTCTGATGGACACATGACCTGATTGGCTGATGCCTGTCTTGTACCTGTTGTTGAATATTTTGACTATTGGTGTTAGAATTAGACACTTAGAAAACTATCAACATGCTTGGGAAGCAGACCTGTAGCATGATACCACAGAAGCAACCTGCCAGGGAAGCTCTTTCTCTGTTTCCAATTAGGAAGGTGGGAAATGAGGAGGTTGCCATAGGGATTATGGAGCTAAAAAAATCTGACTGCTTGGAATACTGCAATAAAGATGAGCAAACTACTAAAATATGATGCTACATTATGAACAAACTTCAAAGACATTATGCTAATTGTCAGAAGTCAGGACAAGAAACCACATATTATATGATTCTATTTGTATAAAATGACTTAAATAGGCAAATTTATATAGAGAAAGTAGGTAGTGGTTGCCTGGGGTGGAGGGTGGGGAGAAAGACTAATTGTAAATGGGCACAGAGATTGTGTCCATTTCATATGCCATATTAGGGGTCTGAAAATGTTTTAAAATTGATTTATGGTGACAATTGTACTACTAGGTAAATTTACTGAAAGTCATTGAATTGTACACCTGAAATTAATAAATATGACATATAAAATACAATTTTAAAATAATAAAAATAAATTGTTTAGCAAGAAAAGAGAAAAAAAGGGACGTACTGCAGTTTGTGAAGCTAGCCAAAAAGCTGCTATCAGCAACTGACTCTAATATTCCCAGAGCTGGACTTTGGATTCCACGAAGCTGCTGCAGAAACACCACGCATCACTATTGCCTTGCTTTCCAGCAGCAATAGCCAAAGCAGTCTTCCAAATCTCACATGAGAGCATCTAGCTGCAAAGGAGTCAGGGAAACTCAGTCTTTGCTTGCCAACCTCCACATTACAGAAAGGTGCCCTAGGAGATAACATGGGGAATATGAGAAGTAGAAGAAAGAGGGCTCTAGGAAGAGGGAAGAACATAAACAAAGACCCTAAGGTCTGTTCAGGACATTAAAAAAAAAGGCCAATTGGGTAGGCCATGGTAACAAGTTTGAATTTCATCCTAGGTGAAATGGAAGCCATTGACAGGTTGTGAGCAGGGTGGTTGCCATCATCAGATATGGACTTCAAGACAGTCCCTCTGCCTGTGTGCAGAGAATGGGTTTGGGAAAATAGTGAAAGCCAGAGACCAGCTAAGAGGCTACTGTAGTCTTGAGATGAGAGATGATGGCGGCTGAAACAGAGTGGTGGCAGAGGGGCTGGAAGGAAATGGGTGGACTGGAACTATATCTAGGCCACAGAAAAAATTGGATGATAGGGGATTAGAGACTAGAGATAACCTCCAAGTTTCAGAGTCACGAGCTTAGAAAAGTCACCTTACTTCTTTCTTGGTTACCTTTTGTTCTAGAATGAGGTGACTATGATGGGTAATTCATTCATTCAACAGATATTCACAAATCCCCTACTATGTGCAGTGGATGTAAAAGTGCTTTTCCCAATGTCTGGCTCCAGAGGAAATGCTCAGGAAAATTCTCTTTCCCTTTTATCCTTCAAAGCTTGAGCTTGAGCTTTAAAGGATAAAAGTGTCCCTTTTCCCAAAAAAGCTTCCTCAGTTCCACCCCAAACCACACTGTTTTTAACACTTCTAAGCTGTGGGGATCCTAGTGCCTGTGTGGGGACTGGACTGGACTGGGGAGAAGGGGAGAACTACATAAGGCACAGGCCTGGGCCAAACAACAGTTGGGGGGAGGGGAGGTGGCAGGGAAGGAGGGTCCAAAACACCTCAAATTTCAAATATTAGCAACTCCATGGTCATGTTACTTCTTTCCATGAAGCCTTTGTTAATGATTTTCCCTTCTGCCCTAAATATCTTTCCTCTTGTTTGTCCTTTGACTCAGTTTGGATGTTTCCCCCTCCAGGAAGCCTGCTTTGCCCAACCACCCCTTATCTGTGTTCACTTTGCATGCTTAGCTCTTCACAATCAATACTCCTCACTCTAAAGGGCCACCATCTGTTTGCTTGTCTGTCTCCACACTGGCTGAGGAAGTCAGGCTGGGGGATTAAAATAAAAGTGACTTGAAGCTTTTAGCATCCATTCAATAAATATTTATGGAGCACCTACTTCTGTGCCAGACCCTAACCTAGGCAGCTTTGATGAAGGCAGGCATGTGAGAAGAGAAAGATTAGAAGGATTTCAGTGAAGAGAGAACAAGGGAGGGGCATTTGTGTTAGTCAGAATTAGCTAAGTTCAGCTGCAGTAACAAATAAACCCTGAAATCTCCGTGATGTAAAACACAAATTTATTTCTTGCACGTGAGAAGTCTGATGTGGGTGAGCAATGTCTAACTTCATCTGCCATTTGGACATGTGCCCTTCCAGGCTTCCATGGCGGGAAGAAAGGGGTAGAGCATGTTCATGGAGTCTAACTGTCTCAGCCCGGGAGTGATACCCTTCTCTTCATAGCCCATTGGCTAGGGCTAGTCATATGACTCCACCCCAACTGCCAGGGAGGCTGGGAAATGTGGGAAACACAGGGACCATCTCTACCACAGCATCCTAGGCTGAATGAAAGTCACGTGTGTGGGAGAGGGGATTTGGGAGCAGCACATATACTGAAGGATAAAGCTGTGATGCCCAGTACGGACTCACAATAAAACCCCAGTGACGAGATTTTTGGTGTTTTCCTTTTGTTTTTAAGATTTTATTTATTTCTTTTTAGAGAGAAGGGAAGGGAAAGAGAAAGAGAGAGATAGAAACATGAATGTGTGGTTGCCTCTCATGTGCCCCGCTACTGGGGACCCAGCCTGCAACCCAGGAATGTGCCCTAGACGAGGAATTGAACTGGCAACCCTCTGATTTGCAGGCCCATGCTCAATCCACTGAGCTGCGCCAGCCAGAGCTTCTTTTGTTTTCTATTTGTGTGTGTGTGCGTGTGTGCATGTGTGTGTGTGCATGTGTGTGTGTGTGTGTGATTGGATTTAAGTGTCTTTAGATGGCTTCTTCAATTTGCCCAGGTCCCCGCCACTCTCTCCTGTTCTATACTCAGCCTGCCTCCATGCCCGGCTTGAGAAGGTTCCTGATTTGAGTCCCCAGGTGTAGCTTTTGTCTTTATTTTGCCTGTCAGGTGACACAGATTGTCAATTCCTACCACAAAGCTATGCTGATTACAAACCTGAGCCAGACCAGCCCTCGCGCCAAACCAGGCAAACTCAAGGCAGGGTCCTGAGCTGACCCTCAGACCCATGGGCTGCACCTCAGCCACTTTGTGTCTTCCAGCAAGCCCTTCCTCTTCTCCAGGCCTCAGTTTCCCCAGGTGTCAAATAGGCTTCAGGGTCCCTGTCTACCTCCCGAGCTTGTTCTGAGATGGCGGCAGTGGAGAGGACATTTCGTTTCATCCTCCAGGGTCCCCAATTCCCTTCTCTGCGGAAGTGGAGAGCTCTAGTTCTGTCCCCTCTCAATGCTGAAAAGAGAAACCCCACAGCGGCCGAGACAGAATCGCAACCACAGAGCTCCAGGATTATCCAGATGTGTGTTTTATTATGATTAGGATGATTACCATTGATAAGGAGAAGGTGCCTAGCAGGTTATACACAGGCCACAACATCCAGGGCGATGTTTACATATCTCCCACTCATTCATCCCACAACTACCACACAACGCAGCACCACAGGTGTCTCCACCTAAAACGCTTCCCCCAAGCAGAACACAGCTGTGAGTCTGGTGCTGCCACCCACAAAAATACCACACAAGAAGGAGAGGAGCAAAGGAGGAGCAGCACTGGGGGCAAAGTTCACATGTGGCAAATCCTGACACTCAGGACTTGGGATCGACGCCAAATCTGGGCATCACCACTTCAGCTTGGCCCCACCCTCACCGGCTGCCTGGCCCAGAAGCACTCTGCCTCTCTCTGAGAATCGCTTAGAAAACACTGAAGGGTCATCTTAGCCAGGGCTAAGGCAGAGGAGCAGGCCTGGGGCTGGGGGAGGGTCTCTGGGATCTGCCCCCTTGCCACCAATGCAAAATGAAGTAATACAGGTTTTTAACTCATAGGATGGCTTTCCGTGTCCCTGAAGGAGGGGGGCAAGGCCAGGGGTTTGGGTGTGTGCATACAGGGGGCTCAGGTTCATGATGAGCGATGTAAGGAGGCAGGAAGAGGTGGTCACGGAGGGCTAGGGCACACAGGGCTCAAGACATTCTTAGACCCTGCACTGCGCTTAGTGGAAACTGCGCTCACTCCTCCAGGGGCTCCCTGGTCCAGGCTGCCCGCCGCCCAGGGTGCTGTCGCTTCTCCTCAGGCCCCTGGCCCCTGCTCAGGTCATCCAGGAGCCCCAGCAGAAGGCTGGCTTGACCACAGGCTCCCTGGAACCCACATGGGCCTCCCAAGGCTCTCTTGCCCGGATGCTGGCGTTTCTCGGGCATCAGGTCTCCTTTCTCCTCCTCCTCTTCCTCCTTCTCTTCCCAGCTCCTTTGGGAAATGGGATCCACCAGCCGTCTTCCTGGGTGCTGCCTCTTGGTTAACATATACCCCAGCCAGGAGGAGCGCCGGCCAGGGTGCTGCCGCTTCTGCTGGGTCACATCTGCTGACCACATGGCTGCATCCTCCCGCCGGCCTGGGTGCTGCCGTTTGTGGGGCCCTGAAGCCCCTCCTTCTTCCTCCTCCTCTTCAGCTCCCTCTTCTGCCTCCTCCCTTTTGCCTGGATGCTGACGTTTAGAGAGCCAGTCAGGTTGAAAGATCTGGGACTCTGTGGAAGGAAAGAGGCCATGAGGGACACCCCTGACCTCTGAGTGCCCACTCCAGGCTTCCTCCCAGTCAAGGTAAGAATTCCTGCAAAACTCACCCAGAAACTCCTGCAGAACTCACGCTGGGAGGCCTTGCGCCTGCCTCCCAGGACTCACAGACACACGCGCACTCATGCAGATGGTCAGAGCATGCTTCTGGTTCCAGTCCCAACTCTGCCACTCCCTAGCTGTGTGACCATAAGCAACTCACTTAACCTTTCTGAGCCTCAGTTTTATTCTGTGTAAAATGAGGGATAATAACACTACCTATCTAAGAGGCTGTTAGGAAGATCAACCTCTAAGTGTGATAAGGTGTTTGCAGCCCTTAGAACAGTGAGCACCAGGGATATATACCCTCATAATCAGTCAGCACTCAGACTCTCCCCAGCCCAGAATCTTCCCCACTGAAGGTATGCTGTCTGTGAGATATTCCCAGGACTGAGATCCAAGAGGAATGTGGTCCCAGAAAAGGGTGAACTCACAACCCTGAGGAGGGTGTGGCCCAAGAGAGTTTCTGAGAGCTAGGCTAAGTGATCAGATCGCTCTCTCTCCTCTGCTCTGGGTTTTCCCCAGCCCTCTCCTTGGCCTCCTCTCCCCTGGGCGGCCCTCGTAGACCGGCCTCTCACCTGATTCTGGATTTCCCTGGACCCCTCCCAGCCGCTGGAGGTCTTCTCGAAGGAGGAGGAGACGCTCTGCCTGGCGCAGGAGGTCGTCCAGGCCCGGGTGCTGCGCAGCTGTCGCCGCCTCCTGCTGGACCACTTCGGCCTGTGTGCAGCCTCCCGGGACACCGTGGGTCAGGGTCAGAGTCAAAGTCATGGCGAGCAGCAACCAGGGGCCAGGCATCCTGGCGTCTGGGTTCGGGAAGACAGAGAGAGCATAAGCACGCCGCGCCCCGCTTTCCTGCCCGCGCCCCGCTTTCCTGCCCTAGCAAGTCCCCCGTGGCCAGCGGAACCATTTTAACACACCATTCAGGGAGCAGGACCGCCTGCCACCTCGGAGTGGGGGCGGCAGGAGGATCTGCCTCGGGCTCTGGGTGTCCTCACCCACTGAGATGCCTGCCCGCGCGCAGTTCTGCCTGCGGGAGGCAGGAGGCCGTGGGAACCCTGCCGCCACAGCCCTACTCGGTGCTCCCCGGAGCTGGGGCAGCGAGCGCTCCGGTAGGCTCCGCAGAAGCGAAGCCAAGCTGCAGCGCCGGCCCGACGGCCGCATCGCGTGCTAAGTTTGTCCCCAAGGTTCCCCAGGCGACATTCTTGTCCCGACGCCCCTTCGCCAAGGTCCCCAGTTCCAACGCGTAGATACGATTTCTATCGCTAAGGTTCTATGACCAAGCGAGGAATCCAATTCTGACACTAAGATGCTAATCGCATCGTTAATTCCAACGCCAAAATTCTTTTTCTAGCGCGAGTCGGAGATTGTAAGGCTAAATTCGATTCTAACGCGAAAATTTCGCTCGTGACGTCGGGATTCCCATTCGAACCCGCGGGCTCCCAGGCCGACGCCCGGCTGCCTCGTTGCGCCTCGGCGTCTGGACACCGGCCGGGGTTCGGGTGGCGAGTCTTCCGTGCGACTCGCAGGCGCCGAGACGTGAGTGCACAGGAGTGGCCGCCACCAGCCTGCCGGCGCCGGGGAAGCGCGGGGATGCGAACGCAGCGCCCACCTGTGCGCGGAGGCTGCGGCTGCTCCCGGGGCGCAGTGGAGCGGACGCGCGCGCCGGTGGAGAGGGACGCGGGCGGTTACCTGGAGGGCGCGACCTCCGCGGGACCTGTCCGGGATCCTGGGGCCGAGAGTCCCGCGTTCGGGGGTCTGGAGGCGGTGGGTCGGGGGTCCCGCAGCGCTCGCAGGCCCCGGACGCCAGCGCCCGCTGCTCCGCCCGGGCCCTGCTTATATCCGCGCGAGGCAGCGGCGCGGGTGAGGTCAGCGGGGAGGGGTCGCGGCCACCGGGAAGGGGCGCTGACGGCAGCCGGCCCCGCGGGTACCCCGCCCGCAGGCCTGCCAGCTCCGCCGGAAATCTGGGGCTGGGGCGGGGGCGGCGGGGCGGGAGGGAGAGCGAGCTGACACGCGCCGCAGGACGGGGTCACTTCTGCACCCAGCTGGGAAGGTCTGTTGTCCAAGAAAATGCTCGTGCGGGGGCAAAGCAACAGAGACACAGAGAACAGGGACAGCTGCAATAGAACAACAATTAAAAAAATTAAAAATTCAAAAACACTAAAAAATCAAAATAAAAAGATGAAAGAGTCACGTGGAGAGAATGGGAGATAAAGACGAAGACTGAGAGCTGCAGGGGGACAGAAGCAGGGAGGTACAGAGACGCGCACCGCACCGGGGAGATGGAGGCAGAGGCTGGGGGTGGGGGGAGGAGGGAGGAAGGGGTCCAGGGAGAAGTGAGGGGACAAGTGGGATCTGGGCTCTGATTCTGACTGCGTCACCTCTGGCAAACGCCTCCCACTCACTCTCTGGGCCTCAGTTTTGTCCCCTGCACAGTGCAGTGGCCCCGGGGGACAGTGTTCAGGATGCCCAAGCCAGTAGTCTGTGGGCCGCCACCACTGACAGACTTCTGTGTTACTCTCACAGTTCTTTTTTTTAAAAAACCTGAATAACTAAAAATTTAAATTTTATTTATTTATTTTTTTTTGAGAGAGGGGAAGGGAAAGAGAAAGAGCGTGAGAAAGAAACATCCACGTGAGCGAGAAACACTGACGGGTTCCCTCTCATATGCACTGTATCCCGCCCCCACACCCTACACCCCAGGCGTGTGCTCTGCCAGGGAATCCAACCAGCCACCTTTGGCTTTGCGGGACCACGCCCAAACAACTGAGCCACACCAGTCAGGGCTGAATAACCAACATTTAAAAACCGGGAGAACTTAGGGAAAATGTGGATTTATGACTTCTCTTGGAAGAGAGTGGACCTACACTTCCTCTCCGGCTGCCCTTGGTTGCCCCACTCTCCACCACTCCCTACTGTCTCCAAATGTTTGCCCAGTCACCAAGAAGGGACATTGGAGTTCGTGGCTCCTGGACCGGAAACCCATTGGGGTCCACCCTACCCAAGCAAAAGAGGGGAGGGGATGTGGGAGGAGAAAAGCATAGATGCCAAGGAGCTTGTCCCCCAGCCACTCCCCACAGTCATGATACCTTGGAGGAGAATCCTGCCACATCTAGTCCTGGGCACAGCCTACAACCTGAAGCACTTAATGGCTCCCTTGTCAGTCCAGGAGACACAGACGTTAGCCAGGCACACTCAGAGGAAACCACATTTTAGACTGAACAACATCTGTGAAGGCCTCTCCTCACTCTAAGTAATCCTAACAGTGTTCTGCCTCCACATTCAATATTTCTTCAGCCACATACTTTCACTGAACATCTGTTGTATGCCTGGACCATGCTAGTGGTCTGGCAAGGGGTACCAAAAGTTTTTAATTATTACTCCTTCCCCTGGCAGAGTGCCCAAACTTCCCCGCATGCCCACCGTCTCACTGCATCCTCACATCTCCCTGCAAGATGAACAAGGTGAAGACTATTAGGCCCACTTTGCAGATAGGCACACAGAGGCCTGGAGAGGATGAAGGACTTGGAAGGTTAGAAGTGGAAGGGAACTTTCCGATCACCAGCTAAAGAGTCCTCTCCTCATTTTTAGATGAGGAAACTGAGGCCTGGAGAAGATGATGTGATCAGCTTCTCAACACCCAGGCACACTTTGTGTCCCCAAGTTCAGATGGTTGGCTGGGGTAGATTGCACTCAGGCTTGCTCTGTCCGCCAGACTCCAGAATTTGAGGAATTGCCAACCTAGCTAAGTATTTAATCGGACGGACAGACCTATCATCTTTCTCATACAATGGTGGAGGTGTAAATTGATGCATCCTCTTTGGGTGGTAACCTGAAAATTTGACACATATGTGCCTTCCACAAGACAATTCCATTTCTCAGAATTTATCCTGCAGATACCCACACCTGTGCATGAGGATGTGTATACACGGGACATTCCGTGCAGCATGGTTTATAGAAGCCAGCATTGAGAACAGCCTGCATGTCTGTCCACTAGGGGGCACCTGCTTAAATCGACTAGGGCCCATACGCTCTATGGGGTACTACTGAAGCTTTAGAAGAATGGGCTATTCCATATGTATAGATGGAGAACAAGCTCTAGGAAAAAAGTGAGAAAAGCAGAGCGGAGAGCAACGTGTACATCATGTACATCTGTGTGGTGGTGCAGGAGATGGACTGGCATGCTCTAATGCAGAAACTCTCTGTTGGGGCGCACAGGCATATGCAGGAGGGGAACTGGGGAGCCCAGGCATGGGAGGACAGTGCAGGGGGGCGTTGAATTTTTCTCTGTGAAGCATTACCTAACCACAAACCAATAAACAGCACCCCAAAAAATTCTTTCTGAGGCTAAGGCTCAGAAATAGTAAGTGTGGTCAGATGGAAAACCTGCCTAGTAGAGCTGAGGTGCCTGGGTCATCACCCCCTGGTGTGCCCCTACGATGCCTTTCTATAATCAGGGGTTTGAGTTGCCTGTTAGGAGGAGAGTTCCTAGACAGCGGATGAGGAGGAAAGGGGGTTCCTACGGAGCTCAAGGGACCAGAGAGGATGTAGAGGTATCTGGAGTGCCTTCAGCAAGCCAACTTTCTCCCTCCCTCCTCCCTCCCTTCCCTTGGTGAATATTCACTGAAGCCCTAGTGAGAAACAGAACCTGTTCTAGTCATTAAGTGCTGTATTAACCATGTTTCTAACACTTGACTTCTGGGGTCTTGCTGACTCTGGAGAGACTGTGGAGCCCAGAGTTGACCCACTCCTGGGAATAGTAAAGAGCTGACCTGGAAACACCTTTCATGTGCAAACAAACCAATCCAGAGCCACAGCCCTACCACTTACTAGGCTATTATCTTCTTGCCCTAATCACCCAGGGCCAGGTATCAAACAACTAAGGACAGCCGTATGCCCCAGAGTTTACTGAAATTATTAAAATTTGCTCATCCTAAACCTTCTGACCCACCTGGCCCATTCTTTCCTGCAGAAGCCACAATAAAGGCTCTTGCCCATCTTTCCCCCCACTTCCTGCTCCCTCTGCCTCCTGATGCTTCCCCATGGGGCCCTGCACGGTGTGGCGCGCTCCCTTCTCACACGCACTGAGGGTAATAAGCTGCCTTTCCAATAGTGGTCATCTCCTGATCCACTGGCCTCACCGTGCCTAAATAGTAATAAGGCCTACACTTAAAACAGGGAGCTGAGAGTCATTATGTTGCATATATTTTTCTTTTTCTTTTTTTTAATTGATGAGAGAAAAAGAAACATAATTCGTTGTTCCACTTTGTTTATGCATCTATTGGTTGAATCCTGTATGGGCCCTGACCAGGGATCAAACCCACAACCTTGGTTATGGGGATGACACTCTAACCACCTGAGCTCCCCAGCCAGGGCTATATTTTTTTATTTTTTTCTCTGACATTACAAATATATTTGTACTGTAGTTGCTGATCAGATTTATACAGCTGTGCTTTGGAAAATAAATAATGGGATAATTTAGTGGCGAGTTTATGCACTATTTCTAACTCCCAGTGCCTACCCTCACCCCAACACACAGGCACACACGCACACACACACACGTGCACACACGTATCCCACTTCCTGCAGGAGGTCTGTTGAGTTTCTGGGTGGGCTCTGATGTTCTGGATTCGCCTCCCTTGAGTTCTATCTCAAAGCCTCTCTGCTCCCTGTTCAGAAATGTCCTCCAGATATTTTAGGATCTTTATCAGTTCTGAGCAACAGAAGGCTCTGAAGCAGCCCCTCCCAGCTTACCTTTTAATTTTTTATGGTATTTTAATTAAACTTTTTATTTTGAGATTATTATAGATTCACATTCAATTCTAGAAAATAATACAAAGATCTTGTGGGCACCTTTTGTCCAGCTTCTCCTAATGGTTTCATCTTACAAAACTGCACAGTACACTGGCCCTGGTGGGTAGCTCAGTTGGTTAGCGCATCATCCTGATACACCAAGGTTGCAGGTTTGATTCCTGGTCAGGACACATACCAGAATCAACCAATGAATGCATACCTAAGTGGAATGACAAATTGCCATCTTTTCTGTTTGTCTGTCTGTCTGTCCCAAAACAATAAATTAAAAATGTTTTTAAACTATATAGTACAGTTCTGGCAAAGATGGAGGCATAGATAGACATACTTTGCTTCCTCCCACAGCCAAAAAACCCCCGACAAATTAAAAAAAAACAAACAGAACTGACAGAAAATTGAACTGTATGGAAGTCCAACAACCAAGGAGTTAAAGAAGAAACATTTATCCAGACCGGTAGGAGGGGCAGAGACGAGCAGCCAGGGTGGGGAAGACCTGTGGCAAGGTGGTGACTGGCAGACCAAGTGGTCCCACATTTGTGTGTGAGACAGACTGTGTAACCCAGGGTTCCAGTGAGGGGAAATAAAGCTTCAAAACCTCTGCCTCTAAAAACCGTGGGGGTTACAGTGGCAGGAGACACTCCCAGCCTCACAGGAGAGTTCATTGGAGAGACCCACAGGGTCCTAGAACATGCACAAACCCACCCACCCCGGAATCAGCACCAGGAGAGCCCAATTTGCTTGTGGGTAGAGGGGGAAGTGACTGAGAGTCTCCAAGAGCCAAGGAAGTGGCATTGTTCCCTCTCAGACCCCCTCCCCCACATGTGGCACCACAATGCAGCCATGTGGGTTGCCCTGCCCTGGTGAAAATCTAAGGTTCCGCCCCTTGCTATGTAACAACT